GTTACTCAACTATACAACCACTTGAAAGAGATGCATCTTAGCTCAGGAAATTGTTACTGAATATGTCAATGCTGTTGTAATGAAATGCTTCTTCTAAATATGTGGTTATTAAATAATTTAAAAAATTCTATGATGAATTTGATTATATTTTTCAAAAATGTGATTTAAACGGGCGTGGTGGCATATGCCTTTAATCCCAAGTTACTCAACTATACAACCACTTGAAAGAGATGCATCTTAGCTCAGGAAATTGTTACTGAATATGTCAATGCTGTTGTAATGAAATGCTTCTTCTAAATATGTGGTTATTAAATAATTTAAAAAATTCTATGATGAATTTGATTATATTTTTCAAAAATGTGATTTAAACGGGCGTGGTGGCATATGCCTTTAATCCCAACACTCAGAAGGCAGGCAGATCTCTTTGAGTTTGAGGCCAGCCTGGTCAACAGAGTAAGTTCTAGGCCAGCTGGGCTTATAGGGAGACCCTGTCTTAACCCACCCACCCCCACCAAAAAATGTAGTTTAAAGCTATATTTTACTGAAGCAGACTCTAATATTCCATTTATACATTTCGGTAGGAAATTAGTGGATTATTTCCCAGTAAATTTAGACATTAAACTCCTTTTTATTTTTTGTTGTAAAACTATAAAACAAAAGTTGAAGAGCTGGAGAGATGGCTCAATGGTTAAGAGCACTTACTGCCCTTTGAAAGGACCAAAGTTCAGTTCCCAGCATCCACATGACAACTCACAACCATCTGTAACTCCAGTTCCAGGGGATCTGATGCCCTCTCCTGGCTCCCATGGGCACTAGGCACACACCTGGTGCACTTACATATATGCAGGCAAAGCACTCACAAATAAAATCAAAATAAATAAAATCTTGTTTAAAAAGTTGAATTATCTAGAGCCCATGAAATCAATATACATAACTTACTCATCATGTACTGAGTCTGTTTTTAAAAAGAACTTTGAATTTAGTGATTCTAAGAATCACAGCTACAAACTGATTATGTTTCTAATTCATTTTCAGAAGTGAGGCATAGATGAAAGGCAATGAAATATAGTTACATAGAGAAGTTATTTTATAAATTTTTCATGTTACTTAATAAAACATATAGTAGTCTTTAAATCCAAGATAATTAATTTCCTTATGTATTAAATGCATACCTATCTACTACAGTAAAATTTATATTTAAAACAAATACATGGATTTATTTATCTTCTTTATTAAAATGTAACTCCATAGGCCAATGTTATAACAAGACTACAGTACAATTCCAAATGTTGCTGAGCTCTTTCAAGTTAATAAGCCTTAAATCAAGGGAATTTGGTACTGATAAATTATTTTCAGTTTTCAGAAAGCTTGTGGGTAGGATAGTAATTTTCTGAATATGGAAAAGTTTTTAAAAGGTCTCACTGGAAAATATGTTTGAATTATTAATAGAAGGGCAGTAATTGCTTTGTCTCATTTTAGATACAGTATTACTTTTTAACAATTAGGGTAACTTGAGGCTAGTACCTGTAATCTGCAAAGGAGAACCCTCTAAAGGAATGTGTTATTGCAGTGGATCATGTCAACTAGGGTACAAGTTCAAGTGCATTAATTATCCCCAACAATGTGCACAAAGAAAATGTTTAAAAAATCTCAACAGGATATCCACTGTGTTTCTGGTAATGTGTCTATTTACAGAACACAATTAAATCCAGTTTCAATGACGACTGTCTAGGAAGCAGACTCCCATTTATGCAAAACTATCTACCATTTGTATGACCCTTTTCTTCTGTGGAATGTTTAAAATAACTCTTGCCAGAATATTTGAGCTAATTGGTGACTACTTCCTACCTCCACTGTTCAGTATATATGAAATTACCATAAGGGTTTTGAAGTATACTTTTGACGCTCCACAGTTCACAGAGACATTTAATTCCTGGCTCTGAAACTGCCTTGGGTTTTTGGATTTTAAAAAAGCATTTGGATTCTACAAGTGCTCCAAGAAAATTATACTTTACAATGAATAATGATCTTTCAAAGCTATGTTGAAGGTTGATTATATTTTTAAAGTATCTTGTTTGTTTTCAGAAAATTGTCATTACGTTTAATTTGCTAAAGTAGTTTTTCCCCAATTTAAAATAACTCCTGCTATTTGAATCTCATTTTCCTTCTAAAATGTCTCCAGTTGATATTGGACTGAAAGTTTAAGTGTATAGTAGACACAGTGAATTATAAAGACTCAATTTATATTTATTGACTGAATTGTCAGAATCCAATTGTTCAGAAAAGTACAATTTACACAGAATTGATTGATGGATTTGATTTTTGTATCCAGCTTCATTTTCCATTTTTTCTTTCACTTAACTAGATGTAATAATACTGAGTTAAACTTTTGGATCATTATATTTCATAAGATTTTATCCAGGAAAGATAAAATCAGAAGTGATCATAAAGGAAAACATTTCTTTGCATGACTTGTATTTCCAGCTCCCACGGTTTCTCTTCAGAGTCAATGTGAGCCTTTTCTGAGTTGCTCAAACCCAGTAAATCCTCCTGTCTTAGGCCCTTATATGCGGTGTCCTTTTCAGGAACAGACTTCCCTTATTTTCAATGCAGGACTGAATTCTGTTTCTAATAGCACTTCTTTCTGCTTACAAATGCTTTTACGGGCATATTTACTGACTACTTCCCTCAGTGCTCTATGGTCGCTGGAATTAATGTTTCTCACCAGCATACATGCGCCATGCCTGTGCGCGAGCAGTGAGAGCTCAAGGAAAATTTGTTGTGCCAGTGACAGGAATTTTATTGTTTCATCTTTCCTGCTCCAAAGCATCTAACAGAAGAGCAGCAGTGAGCAAATGCAAACATTTTGTTTTGTATAGGAAAATGAAGGGAAAGGGCTGGAGATGTCGTACCATGGTAGAGGGCTTGCAAAGTGTGACAGAAGTCCTGGGTTTGATCTCCAGCACCAACCACCCCAACAGAAAAGACAAGAAATAAAGAAAAGGGACAGGTGCTGTGTGATCCTTGGCACAACTGGGCCCGGCTTTAGCAGTGTCAGGGATCATTTGCTCACAAAGGAAAATCATTATTGAGACTTCAATCTTGTTTTCCTGTGACCTACCAGAAATGTTAACAAACTTTCTTTTATTTCCCTCCCTCCCTCCCTCCCTCCCTCCCTCTCTCCTTCCCTCCCTTTCTCCTGCAGTGATCCTTCTGCTTCTGCCTCCTGAAGCGTTGGAATCACAAGCAGGCAACACCACACCCGGCTAGCTTTCTTATTTATTTATTTTTAAGTTTTGCAATAAGAATTGGGTGATGGATTTAATAAATAGTATTGAGTACTTTTTATAATTTAATCCTGAGTTGAAGAGTAGTTTCATTCAGTGCAACCTGACGACGGCTGGAGTATTTCCAGAGGCTCAGGCTTCCTACCTGGGTAGCCAGTGACATGCCGAGGCAAGAAGTCACTTGTTGCTTAGATACTAGGGTGAATAAAAAGGAGAACTTTACACATAGGATGAGAAACAGGGTTCATGCAATAGACTGATGGAGAAATGAATCGAAATGAAGGCAAATTATTCTTGGTGGCCAGTGTATGTGGGATTTTGTGTGTGTCAGGTATGAACATAAAGAGCACTTTCCATGCTTGTCTCCCCCCGCAAGTAAAGTGCATGACCTCAGAACGGTTTTGATCCTGTAGCCCTTTCAGTAAAATCTTTGGGCACAGCCTTGCAGAGTACTTATATTTAATTTGTGTATGAACATGTATACCATACCAATGGTGCATGTGACTGACACATCTTAAAACCAGAAATTTAAAAATATTAAGTTGAAATTTGTTTTTCACAAGCTTCCAAAACATAATCACTTTATACTATCATTAGCTAATACTTCAAGAGGCTTCGAGAACAGGTTTATTGTAAATGATGGGTTCAAATCACATTGAAAATACTCTTCTTGATAATATTGACTTTCTTGTTGGCTTTTTGTTGTTGTTTGTTTATTTGCTTTGATTTTTAAAAACAAGGTCTCACTATGTAGCCCTTGCTGGCCTAAAACTCACTATGTAGATCAGGCTGGCCTTGAACTCACAAAGATCTGCCTCCTTCCACCTCCCCAGTGCTGAGATTAAAGGCATGTGCCAGCATGTCTGGCTTCTTGTTGGCTTTTTTTTTTTTTTAATGTGTATGAGTGTATTGCCTGCATGTATGTGAGTGCACCCATGTTGTGCAGTGCCGCAAAAGTCAGAAGAGGGCTTCGGATTCCCCTGGAATTGGAGTTAAGGATGGTTTGTAGCTGCCATGTGGGTCCTGGGAATCGAACCCTGGTCCTCTGCAAGAGCAGTCAGTGCTCTTAACCGCTGAGCCATCTCTCCAGCCCCTCCTGTTGGCTTTTTAAATATGTATATGTATAATTATATAAATATATATTATTACTGATTAACTCTTCTCTCCCTCCTGCCCGCCCACCCACACTTCCCATTTAGGTCTCATGTACACTAGGTACTGAGCTACACCTTCAACCCATAGTTCACATTATTCATTTTTCTTCCCTTCCCCTTCCCCTCCTGCCTCCTCCCTCCTCCCTCCCTCCCTCCCTGCTTCCTGCCTTCTTTCCAGATAGGGTCTCATGTAGCCCAGGCTGGCTCTTACCTCGCTATATAGCTGAGGCTAGTCTTGAAATCTTGATCACCCTGCTTCCACCTCCCAAATTACGGGATATTAGACATTTGAGATATTTTTTTTTCCATCAGAAAGAAAGGGTCATTCTAGACTGAAATACTGGAGATAGATATGTGAATTAAGGAATTTAACAATGGTCTGATACATTTTAGATATTAATCAGTTTTACATTTCTTTTTGTCTTTTTTGGGATGTTGTTTGCTTCTTTTTTGAGACAGAGTTGGGCTGCATAGCCCTGGATGGCCTGGAACTTGTTGTGTAGCCCAAGCTGGCTTTAAACTTGCAGCAATCCCCTTGCCTCTGCCTCTTGAATGCTGGGATGACTGTCACATACCATGACACCCAGCTCAGTTATCAGTTCCTGCATCAAGTGACGTCTAGGTAATACTGAGGCAGTGTATATTTGCTATGAATTTTTAGGAGCTCTTGTGTGGGGCTATAGCAGTAAGGAAACATTCTCACCCTTGAAGATGGAAGACTACAAGCCTCTAATGCGGTTTCAACTCTCTTCCGGTCTGCTGAAAACAAGCGATAGATGCTGTGAAGTGAAAACAAACACACAAGAGCTGGTTAAAAGGTGAATGGGTTCATGGCACATGCAGCCAACTCAGAGCACGCCACTGAGTCAACAAGCGGTCTAATTAAGATAGCAGCTGGCCTCCACCTCATAGGCTGCGGAGGTTATCTCTTCAGATAACCGTTTCTGCGTCTGTTCTCAAGATCTGTATGTATCTTTTAAAAAACTACAGTGTTTACTACCAAACCAATATCTGAGATAGTGGGAATGCCCAATTAGACTCTAGTCTACAGCTGAATCTCTCAAATTAATCACTAAAAGAAGTAACATTCCCGATCTTGTCCCTTGATGTTGCACATTGTCTCCCAAATGTACATTGTGCCACGAGTAATCTAAGGGTTTTTATTAATAGCAGCTCATTGCTGGTATCTAGGACAAAGCTTATGGACTGGCTAATATGATCTAGAGATATACTTTCTTGGGTCACAAATTTGCTTTTAAAAAATAAGTGCCGCTGACAACACAGTGGACAGTAACAGGGATGACAGAGTATATGGGCTTCAGTGGGGTGCTATGGGAGGGTGCCATTTGGGAGGCGGGTATAAAGATGAATTTTTGTTTGGGCTGTTCTGTATGAAATACACACAAAAAAATCAGTAGAAAAATCAATCAATAAAAATAAGTGCCGGTTGGGCCTGGAGAGATGGCAAGATCTTAGCTCTTACAGCAGACCTGAGTTTGATTCCCAGCATCCACATGGTGGCTAACAACCATCAGTAACTCCAGTTCTAGGGGATCTGAGACTTCTTCTGACCTCTGTGAGCATTACACAACATGGGTGCACTAACACACGTGTAGGCAATACACCCATACCCATAAAAAGTATAGTGCTAGGAAATTTAATATACTGACTTGGATTTATGGGTTCTATCGAAACATCATAAGACCTTGTACAGATGCTCATCACCTCCGCAGACTATGAGGTGGAGGCCAGCTGCCATCTTAATTAGACCGCTTTTTCTCTGCAGCTTTCTTCTTCCTCCTGCTCTGATTTGTAACTAAGCTCCCTGCCTGACTCCTGTAGCCACTGGACATCGTGAGCCCTGCCTTATGACTGGGACCACGGTGACCACGGAGGTACATGGCCACACAATTCGCACTTCCAGAACAGCTCTGAATCTCAGGCAAATTTTGGGATTGATGCAATGAGGTTCCTTCCTTCTCCCTGTCCCCACTTTGTGCATTCTGAAAAATTATTTCACAGGAAGTGGTGACGCAGGGAAATGTCATGAGGAAACCAGTTGTTCTTGTGAGAGACTAGCGTGAGAGAGGACGGGGTACCATACATTTCCATGCTTCTGGTCAGCCTGGTGAAGAAGTAAATCAGACCATGGCACAGATTCAAGTCTTTGGAAGAAAGAAGATGAATAACGGTGATGCTCGAAGCTTACTTTTTGAGAGGAATGCGCCCTTCTGGAGTGACCTGCAGCTTAAGTTTAGTGTATCTGTTGGTAAAACAGAAAATCAAGTAGTTAATTTTAAAATAATTGAAAACAAAATATGAGAAGGGCTCATGCCTACCCACAGTATGCTGAACTTGCACAAACTACCCAACTTCCAACTGGTACTCAGATGAAGGACTGGAACATTGCTACTTTAGGAGCATCCCAGAAGTTCTTTTCAGGCTTTCCTACAGAGCCTGTCCCTCAAAAGCAATTGCTATCTTTATATTAAACAGCATAGTTAACTTTTGTTTGTTTATTGTACCGTATAGCCCATAGGATCATAGTCTTTAGTGTCTGGCTTCCTTCACTCAGTATTATGTTTTTGAGATGTGTTGCTTATGGATTAGGATGGGAATGTGACTAGGGAATGATACCTAAGGAAAGTGCGTGCACTCTGCATACACTCAGCTATCCCATATCTAGGTATATATGTAGCAGAGATGTTTAGTACACATTCACCAAAACTCATGCCTTGCAGCTCTCGAAGGGACACACCCACCTGGAAGAGACATTCACAGTAGATAACGGTTAGTCAATCAGCTCCACCATGCTATGTTTCAAGGAGAACATCTTAATTTTCTATCTATCCCCTTCCACTAACATTGCCTAGAAAAATAGATGTTGTAGAACTGTTTGTTGAACAAAGGATGTTGAGATCCAGGGCAAAAACAAAGGAGAAAGGACAGGAAAAGTTGGAGACGTGTTAGAAGGATACTTAAGGAAACAAAATCGGGGGAGGAGGTAAATCCACGAAGAAGCATTTAAGGGCGGACTTGTACCTAAAAGCAGAAGAAATTCACAGAAGGGTAAAATAGAATGTGGTTGCAATGCGATGTCTGGAGTGATGGGTACGGCTTCCATAGCAAGAGGAAAGAGAGCTCTATTCAGCAAAACAGGAGCACCTGGCAATGTTTCTGCTTGTGGTTTTGATTTAAAGGTCTCCCAACCTCTTGAGCCACCACAGCTTCCAAAAGGAACACACCAGGCTTTCCTGCTGCTCATCTGGCACACGGTATTATGTTCCTTGGTCAAATAACTTTTAGAAAGGCTGTTGCAATTCTAAAGTGACTTGCTAATCTGCTTTACTTTCCTTTTCCTCTTATTTTCTCTCCCACCTACTGTCTCTATCTCTGTGTCTCCCTCTCTCTCTCTTCATTACTGCTTGCTGTGATGGTCTCTAAGGCCTGGAATTATGCTATCCGCCCATTGAGTTAAGTAGTCAGGAAGTTACTGTGGCACCTCTCAAAGATCTCTGACTGGAGAGAAACAAGGTCGTATGCTGACCATAATGAATGAGCAGACACAGGCAGATGTGGAGGCAGAAGACTCTCTGAAATGAACAGTTCCTAGTATTGACCACAGCTTCCAGGGAATGGAAGTATTTCCTTTTGTGTGTTAAAGGCATCAATGTTCAGGCTCTCTCAGCCCATGCACAATGTGATAGTGTTTGGAGGAAAGCGTGATCTGTCTTGGAGGTCTTCCAAGTCTGAACAGAGGAGGTATCAGTTCTCTAACAAATCCCAAAGGGAAATTTATGTTTATGAATGTGAGAAGCTAAGGGAGCATAAACAAAAGACTCACAAAGGGGAAAGGAAACTGACTCAGAAGAAGCAACACCCTTAGCAATAAAGTTAGAATGACTTACGCTTTTTCCAGAAACGCGTCCCTGGACATGTTTTGGGCCAGCAGGTTTGTTGCCAAGCTGAAAACCTCATTTGTCCATTCCTGAAAAACATAAATCACACTTGCATTAGCTTAAACACTACTCAGGTATAAGATAACTTTTAACTTGGCCCTCCTGGAAGACAAATTAGTTCAAGTTGAATGCCAATGGCATCTTTCCCAGCCCCCCCCCCATTTTTTTGTAAACATGATATAATTAAATTCAAATCTGAGTGATTATTCTTCATAAAAAATGCTTTTTACACACAAATGTTTTTTCCTGCTTTTTAAAATTCCCCATTGATAAGACTGTTATGCTTCAAAAACTATATACTTCTTATTTGTTGTTGAATTAGAAACAAATAAGGAGTCTTGGAAAAGTTTCAGCTATGGAAACTATATTTCTAACAGACTTGAAAATACAGCCTTCCTAACTGACTACTCACACTGGAGATCTTTGAAGTTAGCTGTACTCTGACAAGTTTTCTAATCCAGTTACCGTCATAGTGTCAATCAATGCATAGTGCTTTCTCTCCTCAAATTCTGCTAATCCTTCACTATTCTCCAAAGGGCAATTCCTACCAAACACAGCTCAATAGTGATCTCATTTGGCTTCCAAGAAAATGGAAAATAGCAGGTTCAAAAAAAGAAGGTTGTGTCACCATACCTGGTGAGAATTCTGAACACACAATAAACATTCTGGGCCGATTTTTTATTTTTTAAGCGAAAATGCTGAGACAGTTCTTCATCTAATTCTGGTTATAGGCTTGGATCTCTCCATAATGAAAGGTCCTGATGCTCCATAGTTACCATGTTACAGTGGAGCTCATTTTTTAGATCTATTGATATTGCTTTATATATTTAGGTGTTTTGGTGATAACTTATTGGTGAACTGACCATTGTCATGTATAATGACTTTGTCTCTTTTTATAATTTTTAACTTAAGGTCTATTTTATCAAATATACAGAGAGAGTCCTGTTTGCTCACTTCTGGTTGGCATTTGTCTGCAATACTTTATCATCCCTTAACTCTCAGCTTAATTCTGTCCTTAAGACTAAAATAAGTCTCTGGTAAGCAGTGTATTGTTGGATCTTGGTTTTTAAATTATATTTAGGCAACTGTATCTTTTAACTGGAGAAGTTATTTCACTTACATTTAATTATTTGTAGGTAGGGGTTTTGTAGTGTTTGTACTGTTTTATACTGTCATTTTGTGCTGTTTATAACCTCTCCCATTCTTGTGATTTCTTTATAAAATTAACTAATTAATTAGATTTGTCCTTTGACAATTTCACAATGTATATAATACATGCTGGTTACTTTCCCCTCTCTTATTTCCCTCCCTCCCTGCCAACCCCCTTCTTCCCTACATGTCTATTTCCTATATTTGTTTCATTTTGTGTCTCACAGAATTTAACTAGGGCTATCTATGTGACAATGGGTTTGGAACCATCCATTAAAGCCTGGTAGGCTCACCAGCAGGTACGTAACTAGACACTGCCTCCCACCTCTCCAAAGCTGCCAACAGTTCAACAGTAAGTTGTAGGGTCCCCTGAGTTCCTTCCCCACCCAAGGCTGACTGCTGAGTGGGCCATATGTGCAGGCCCAGGCACAACTGTTATGAGTGCCATGGCCTTGTCCTATTCAATGGCTTTTCACAGCCTTTCTGCCTGTCTTCTGGCTCTTACAGCAGTTCTCCTCTCTCAAATGTTCCCTGAGCCTTCAGGGTGTGATATAAATGTCTTGTTTGGGGCCGAACCCTCAACCATCCTTCATTTTCATCATTTTGTGCAGCCACAGGCCTCTGAATTCACCCCTGTTCTCTTTATAGATAGGTTTCTCTGATTAAGGCTGAAAATACAAATTATATGAAATATGAAAATAAATCTTTGTAAGGCATTTGAGTCTATGTCAGTTTAGACCTAAGATATCCTCAGTCATTGGGTTTTGACAGACTACATACGAGGCACTGATTCCCACTTGTAGAGCACGCCTCAACTGCAATCAGGGAGCAGTCGGTGTTCTAGGTAAGAGTCCTGTCAGTGTTGCACCAGTGTGCGTATCTCGCTTGGTAGGTTGGAATTATCATTCCACCTGGATAAGTGGTACACATTTCACATCTGGGTAAGACCCCTGCTAGCCTTCATGACACTGTCTGGCACTATGAAAACCAGCTAGCGAGAAGGAACTTTCAACCAGTTCTGGTGAGCAACTGAGAGCTGTCGATCTTTGTTGTTTATAAAATAATGTCTTTTAGTTCAACAGTTTTGAAGCTTAAATTTGTTGTTATTTCTACGACTGATTTTACTGGTCTTTGAGTAGTATCTTTTATAAAACTGTGATCAGTTTTGCTTCCTAACTTAAGACACTAATAATATGCTGTCATGTACCAAAGTGACACAGAGTGATGGGACAAGGAAGGCAGACTTCTTAAGAGAGAAAGCTATCTGGAAGAACCAGAGACGAGCAAATATGCTTGGAGTTTCAAAGAAAAGGACACTTTCTAATATGAATTAGAAGACAGAAAAAAATCTCATCTAAACAGCAGAGTTGTAGGCCAGAGTACAAGAACAGTTAATATGTGCTCAGATGCCTAGAGATACTGAGCAGAAATGTAATAGCATCAAAAGCCCTTTTTCAGACTGGGCAGTGAGAAATGCCAGGGCCAGGCCGAGCCAGCCCCAGGGGAGGATCAGACAAGGTTGAGGATGAAGTGAGGCTGAGAAGCTGAAGGGGAGAGCTCCGTTAGGAAGCTGCAGCTCGTAGGAGTGCTGAGGCCTTGACCTCCACACATCGTAGGCTGAGGATTTAGAAAAGGCACATCGCTGGCTGGGAGAGGAAGACAAAACCATCTATTATCAAACTTCGTGTGCACGTGGAAAAGCAGAGCCTAATGCTTCTAACAGCTTAGAATGCAATTTCACTAAAATTAGATACTCTTAGACTGAGTAATAAATGTTGCCATTAGTTTAAAAGTGTTTCTTATATAGTATTTTCTGGAATAAGAGTCAAACTTTAGATATTCTAGCTCCATGGCAACTTCAACTATCAGTAAAAGTATTTATAATTGAGGTCAATGTACAGTTCTGTGTATTTGTTTAGAGCCAATTTCATACCAAATATGGGTACAAAAGTAATTAAAAACATTCCTGGAGCTTTAACTTAGTCTAATATTTTAAGCGGAAAGCTAAGGCTTCCAATATATCCAATTCAATAAGAATATCATATGAATCATATGGAACTTAGAATTTTCTAGTAACCAAATTTAACAGATGAAAGAAATATGTGAAATTAATTTTAAAAGTATTGATTTTATTTATGTGCATGTGTGGGGACCTGCTCAATGAGTATGTGCACACCACGCTTGTACAGCAGCCGGAAGAGGCCAGAGGATGGCATCAGATCCCCTGGAGCTGGAGTTACAGGTTCTTGTCAGCTGCCATGTAGGTGCTGGGAACTGAACCTGGGTCCTCTGCAAGAGCAGTATGCACTCTTAACTGCTAAGCCATCTCCCGAGTCCCATGTGAAATTAATTTTGCTGAGATATTTAATTTAGCCCAGTATTTCATCTGTTTGAGTGTTTCCATGGGCCCCAATGGAAAAGCCACTTGATTTCATGTAATGGGTCAAAGGCAAGATGCAGATGCAAAAAAAAAAAAAAAAAACCCTCAGATTCAATAAAAATACTGCACAAAAATTATTTTCAGGAAAATGTATACACACACTTAATCTTAAAATTTCTATGGTCATAGTTTAGTTAATAAGTTTAAGGAACAAAATATATATCTAGTCAAGGTTTATCTGAGAGTATTTGTTTTTTTACCCAAGCCTTATCTACATAGCACATGGTAATTAAAAGTACCAAACTGGTCGAACTAACCTTATTGGATGTTTAACAGCCATAGTTTGAGGCCTAATGTGGTCAGAGGGACTTAAAGGACAGTTTTTGCCCCTTGCCCTCCAAAGTCACTTAAATTCCAGGGGACTATGGAACATCTCTCAAAATGTCCTGTAACTGTCGTGAGTCACCTGTCCTCTTGTTCAGGGAGGACATGGAGACTCCACGAGCTGGACTCGAACAAGTGTCCAGTCTACAAAGAGGAGGAGGGTCAACTCAGAGGAAACATCTTATTAATGCTTCCAAGTAAAGCCAGACATAGTTGAACAGGACCTTTGACTTATCTTCACATAGACGGAACTGGTAAAAGAAAGGAGCCAGGAGCTCCTCCCAAGCCCATGTGACTCCTGAGGAACAGATCCTCAAATGACCTTAAGTGTAAAAATAAATTGATTTATTTGGGCCAACTGTAAGGTCTTAAACACCCAAAAGGAAAGTATAACCAAAGATTACAGGGGCCAATATAATTTCTTAAGAGTCCATATGCATAGCTAAAGGCTACATAACAAGCAACAAAGTCCATATAAAAAGTTATTCAGACAACTATTTCTCATTGGTGATTTTGTTCCTAATCAGAAAGTGTTGCTCACATGTAAGACTTCAAAACTTGGTCTGCAATACTGTAGTGCCCACGTGTAGTTAAAGGAGACAACCAGCTATTGTTCTAAAATGATGGATAAATTTGTTTTCTCCCCCTATCTAGAAGCCTTTGGAAGGGAACTGACACTGATTCTAACCACTCCAACAGCTATCAAAATACCTGAAAGCAAATCTTGAATCCATCACCCTAGAGTCCAGCCTTGGAAGACAAAAGAGAAATGAGGAGGAACACAACAGAGGGATGCTTTTGGAAGCCCTTGTCAAGAAATTCCAATAGACTCTCATATGAACATTTGAAAATTGCCCTGTTCTGACTTTTTTCTAGTTCCCTGTCTAGAAGTTGTAATGCTAATTACTCTTGCCTTTACTTCTCCTTCACATCTATTCATGATTCAAGGACTTTCTTTTCCCCCTAGAGACAAGAGTTACACAATTTGGGAGTCTTTTAGATAGACTCACTGAAGGGGTATTCGTCCCTGTTTGGCACGAAGAAGCCAGAGCGATCTGCATCCCTATTCCCTATTGGCCATTTGGGTAACCTCTTCAGAGGATGGTGTGATAAGAA